CGCCTTCCCCCACCAGGAAATCGCCCCCGAGCTTTGAAACATGCAGAAAGGGAGAAACAGGACATGAGGGCACTGCTACAGTCACTTAAGATCATGCAGGTGTTTATATAAAAGGACGCTCCTGCTCCTCTGCTGCCAATGTGGACTAAAATTCTCTACTCTGGCTGGGCTGTATATGTGTGCTCAAGTGTGTATAGCTGTCAAAAACCTGATTCAGGTCTTCCGGAGGGCCTTCTGCAGTTTGGAGAAGACTGCGCCCAGCCACGATCTGCTCAGCGTAGTAGATTAGCGTCTCCACAGACCACACCCTTGACACCGAGACACGCAGGCCCAGCACTGCAAACAGCTGCAGGAACCATAACAAGACCACCACAGGCAGGGTATATAAACGATGACTTGCTTCTGTTTCCAAACAATACTTTGTTTGTTGTACCATTCTCCATACAGTTAATCTTAAATACACTTTAAAATGTAAATGCAAGGTGACTGGGTGGTTCGAGCGTCAAGAGCACATAGTGATTTTTTTATTCTATGAAAAGCCTTTCAGGGTCCATTCTCATGTACACGGGGTCGCACTGCTCAACCGACAATGCACCAGGAATAAAATTGTGAAACAGAATTTTGGTAATAACCACACCCCTTCGCAGGAAGCCTAGGTGTGCTCATAACCGAAGTATGCATGGCTCCAAAGTTGCCCTCCGCCTTCCCCCAGCAATGAAATTTAAAGTTGTGTTGCTTATATATACGTGCTAATATCCAGCTTCTACTGTAACAAAAAATCATTGTGTGTCCCTGTTTAAATGAGCTCGTTCGTGCTCATCTCCATTTGTGGCAGGGGCCACTCCATCCAGATGACAACTGCTAGTGCTTTCCCATGAAGTGGTCCTCATTTTATCTAGGTCAGAGGTGTTGAAGGGCTTTGTTGACCTCAAATAACAATATCCATGGAGTAGTGTCTTGGTAGTCTCGAAGTGATGCACTGAGTGATGTTTTTCCTGCAGGATGGAGTATTGTTTTAGCACAGCAATCAGTGATATTAATTTGCAGCAGGGAGCAGGGCTTGATTGGGTGCTGCAGCAGATTGCGGTACATTACTCACTCGTCTGTTGGGGTCGAGCAGCATGGGAAAAGTAGCTCCCGTCTCGTTCAACCAGGCCTTAGCTCTGCTGCAGCTACTGAACGACACCAACACCACCCGCGCGGCCAAGTCTCCCTACACACGGCAGTAAGGACCAGAGACAGGCAATCAGCCAGGCAGGCAACAAGCACAGGGAGATAGAGAAAGACAAAGACAGCTGAGATCACACAGACAGGAATATAGAGCTTGGTAAGATCAAGAAACACACCAGGGAAATGTAGCAAGTTCTACGCCAGTGCTGTGTTTCTCAATGCAGTGTGCTGCAGTGTTGAGGATGCAATACAAATGGTATGGTACAATGCAGTGTGGTGAGCCAGGGTGCAGGGAAGTGTTGTACATGTTGGCGTGTGGTGTTATAAATAGGCATATGATTAATTTCCATCACAATGTGATGTTTACTCATTCAGGGTAACAATTAGGTTAAAGAATCATTGATTTTTCTTTTTGTTTGCACTGTATGTCATCTGTGTGGTTCCTGTTGTGCTATCTGTCTTATCTGTACAGTTGTTGTTTTTCGTCAATAGTTATAACAAATTAAATAAGCATTCACAGCACTTTGTTTACCCATTGCTGGATGAGGCTTCACCCATGCGGTTTTTTTTTCATGGGTGTTGTTGTTTGACCATACTTAACCACGGTGGTCAGTATGGAGGCCCAGGACTGGTTCAGATATTACTCGCCACTGATATAAGCCGTGACCAAGAATCAAACTTAGGTTGAAGGTTTTGAAATGCAGTGCGGTAATCACTGCACCACCACTCATTCCTGTTTACACCATTGGCCGACATTTAAATGAATACATAAAAAATTATCAATTCTTGCACATACAATGTGTATCAGGATACATTTTAATTGCTGAATCATTACATGCACCGTCATTGTCATGCAGTGCAAAGCAGGACTACGCTCTATGGCCCTGTTTATCCATAAAATCCTTATTGGTAAATCTGCGCTATGCTTAGCTAATTGATGAACCCATTGTCAAACTCAATAAACCTAAGACGTCCATCTAATTACCCTTTAACTATCCCAAGAACCAGAATTGAAATATGTGACAAAGCCTTTGCAGTTGCAGCACCAACGTTTTTGAACAACCTGGTTTCTTCCCTTAATATCATAAACACTCCTTCAAAAATATTCTGAAGCAGATTAGTGCTGGATGTAGCCACATTTAAAAATGTGATTTGCAACTTTGATCCTTACCCATGTATTAGTAGTTCCAGTTTAATGTACAATTTTATTCAGGGCCTGTGTCTTGTTTTGGTGTGGTCTGGGACTGTTTTTGCTGTTGTTTTACTGCCTTTCCCAAGCTTGGGAATTGATGTACTTATGCAATTTCAACTTATATGCTTTATTTTTATTATTCATTTAAGGGGCGCCATGGTGGCGTGATGTCATCTTCCTCGCCTGCTATGCAGGAGATCGTGGCTTCGATCCCAATCCTGATGCCTGCTGTATATTTGGAGTTTGCGTGTTCTCCCCATGGTCGCACAGATTTTTTTCTCCAGGTCCTCTGGTGTTTCCCTCCACATTTAGAAGCATTCGTTTAGATTATTTGGCTGCTATAAATTTCCATGTGATAAGCCACTTCGTTGAGCTATCATTTGTGGCAAGGAAGCTTCTGTAAAAGAAGCTAATAGCTCAGTGGGTTTTACCTGCTAAAATATGTTTTAGTGATTTGCTTACCCTTCCTATATTTTGCACTTCTTTCGTGTTTTTGTATTCTTTGTTGTTGTAACTTTCTGACCTGCCCCTACTGCACATCTGTGAAAAAGTTTTATAGCTCATCGGAATCCTCCAGCATAAATGATACAAGCAGTGTGATTTGTGAAGTAACAGAAGAGACTCATTCACACCTTAGTATAGAATTGCAGTGTTGTATGCGGCAGAAATGTGGACTAACAAGACAAAAGAATAATGGGAAGTCTCAATATGTGGGTATGGTAACGAATGGAGTAAATCAACTGACTGCAAAGAGAAATGAGGAAGCTATAGAGGAGTTTCAAGAGGAAAGAAGAATAATTAGCACAATCTCGGGAAGTCAGAATCGGTGACTTAGGCTTCATGAAGGACGTTCTCCAAAGAATCATGTTGGGTATGTGGCCAAAAGGGAAAAAAGCTAAATGCTGCCTGATGACTTGAAGGGAAAGGATCCATGCAGTGAATGGAAAATTATGCTAACGAATAGGAAAGGATGAAGTATTAGCTAAATACCTGGCATTGGGCTGAGGGATATTGATAAGGTGTTGTGTGTTAGGTGCGGAGACCTGGTGAGTGAGGAGCCGGGCAACATGATCGCGTCAGGGCAGTCAGGCGAGATGACGAAGCAGCACGAGCAGCACGGGTGAAGAGTCCTCACCCAGCACCTCTGCGAGAGAAACCTGTCTGCAAACAACCATAAGGCAAACACACACATACAAAATCAATAATCCTTTTCATTGCCTCCACAGACTGCTGGGGAAAGTGCTGTTAGTGAACACCTATTACGGAGCACAGTGCATGAGGTGGTGGTGTGGTCAGAACCAGGCCCGGGTAGTAATTTAAGTCTGAGTCAATCTAGGAAAGGCCAGGACCAGTTCAGACATTCTCCACAGGTTTTGGCCATGGCCGAGAACCGAACACAGATCGTCGAGTTTGTAGTACAGACTTCTAACAATGATATGAACACTCCCCATACTCGTGCAACAACCGCCATTCTCCACGAAGTGGCGGTGACATCACCTTGGCACTTGTGCCAGGCTATGTGCACTCTAAGGCCACGTGAAGTGTCAAACGCCCACTGGCAGGAGGTCACGGGATAGACCCAGGTGCCATGGGTTGCGTGACTGCAATGAATGGCCGATGCACCACCTGTGCCCTCTACTGTGCCAACTTGTTGTGTTTTAACCGGCCTGCACTCTGCTCGTTGTTGTGAGCGTCACTCCTCCGCCCTCCGTTGTTTTTGGAGGGCGACTGCCTCCAACTGCCCAGTCGCGTCCTTAACGATCCTCCTCCACAGAGGTTGATCTTGACACCGCTGGGACCAGTCATCGGCAAGTCCACTCAGCTCTACGTCCTCCTGTACCACATCACTATATCTCTTCTCTAGCCCGTGCCGCGCCCATTTAGCCCCCTCTATCCGGCTGAACAAAAGCTGTTTGGGCATGCGGTGGATGGGCATGTGGGGCAACATAACCCATCCAACGCAGCATTGCCTGCTGGAGCTCACCGATTGGACTGTGTCCAGATCTTTCGAGAATTTGTGGGCTCCTCACACAATACAGCCTGGTTAAACCCAGAATGGATCGTAGGAAGGCCAGTGTAAATGCACAGCAAATCTGCAAACCTGTTCCTGAGGTCGTAAATAACATCACCTTTTTTCCCCTGAGGATAGTGATAGGTGTGGCGCTGTAAGTTACTTTTTTGATGGAATTAAATAATATGATCGCGAGCTACGAAGGCAGACTACATCCCCTCACCAACCCATGACCACCACTCATCCTTGCAGCGCCGCACGGCTCTCCGAACCTCCGAGCAAAGGCTGCGGTAAGCCTCGTCATTCTCCGATGTGAGATGCTATAGGCAGTGGAAGTGGGCCTGTCGCTTTATCTCAGCCATCTTGAACACCTCCTCCATCAGCCAGGGTCTCTGGGTAGGTTTGGACCATGTACCCAAAGCAGCCATTGCAACTGCATGAGCCACAATCCTCAACCTCACCTATTTCCCCCCGGTATCAGGAGGGGGGGGACAATGCTAAACCCCAGCTGCAAGTGATGATGAAATTCTCACAACTTTCATTAGCTAGTTGAGACTAGGCCACTATGGGTTTGAAAAGGGTTCTAGATGGACACCCACCACCAGAGTGTAAGAATGGCAGGCACATCTTACAGATGAAAAGCCGATGATCAGTGGGCAGATCAGCTCCACCATAGGTCCTGGTGTCAAGGGCATGGGGCCGGATCCACTGTTCCATCACTATATAGTCCAACAGATGTTCTTGCTTGGACCCAGCGTGCATTCATGATGTTGTGTGGATGCGCCGATGCCGAAAAAGCGTGTTGATAATTACAAGCCCATGGGCCGCACAGAAGTTGAGCAACTTCCGACCCTTGTTATTGAGCTGATCTGGCCCATGCCTTCCAATCACTCCAGCCCAGGTGCCAGCGTCATGACTCACTCAGGCATTAAAGCTACAGAACAATAGGACTATGCCGAGGGGCCACTTTAACTAACACCTGTGACAGGTCATAGAAGGTATCTGACTCATCGGCCTTGCCTGCATCTCTCCATTGATGTTCATCTTCGGTGGGGGCAGAAGCAACCACCACTCGTACACATACGAGCGGGCTCACCGTCCACAGCACGCATCCGTGAGCTCCAGCTCTAGCGGGAGCTGCACTGCTGGCTCTGCCACTCCTGGTGCTGTCACCTCGTTGTCAAGGCGCTCATCTATGCCCTTCAGAAATGAGCTCCACTCCTCCTGTCAGGCACAGGAGTGGGCGCAGAAAGAGTGGGGGAGGCTATGGTGTCACACACACTTGCAGGGGAAAAACAAACGCTTGACAATACAGGAGAGACGCATACAGACGAGTCACCCACGTTTATCTAATCGGCCTTGGGACCAGCAACGTGTGCAGTAACCGTAGATCACAGTATGACAAGGTGAATTGTATGTATGTTTATTAATTCTCTGATTTGTTTTCAGGCTGTACCGCATGTAGTTCAACATGCTCCACATCCTGTTGTTCAGCACAAGAAGCGAAACTTTGGACATCATGCCAAACAACATGTGGTACATCCCGCAATCTAAACACTATACAGTAGACGCACTAGATTATATAGTATGAATGTCACAAATAATCGATGCATATGTATTATTGTACTTCACAGAACACACATTTATTGCATGTAACAATACATGTTTTACATCTGTAATGGTTTCACGTGAATCATTCAGCCACTAGAGGCCGCTACAATCATCACTTTAAAAAAGACAATTGTTGAATAAAATCTGGACCTTCAATTGTGAAAACTGACTGTACTGCGAGGCATGGGTAGGGGGTGGGAGATTAGTCAATATACCCTGAGTGTATAGTGGTATTCAGCCAGATAGGGCTACGGTCAGAGTACTTGACTTGAATGAAATACCAGTAGAGTACTGATTCAGCTTTTTACCCTTTCAGAGTTGATGAAATACATGCCAATTTGTGGGATGTCAGCAATGGTTTTATATGTATATTATACCGGCCATTGTCATGGAAAAGTGGAATTTCTGCTGTTGGCTCAGGCCACCAAAACAGCAGATTTGAGGAAGCAAGAACTTTGATTTTACGAAGATTATTCCATTCTTGTCGAATAATCAGTAACGAGACTGCTAATGATAAATGGTAAATTAGATTTATGCGAGACAATTCAAAGTTTATTGCTGTCAAACTACCAAAAACGATTTTCTTAATACTGGGATTTCAGTCAAATATACTTTAGTTGTAGGGCATACACCCCATTACAGAATTTTTTTTAAAGTAAAGCTTCCCCCCCTTCCCCTCCCTCCCCTTCTCCCCCCGCTCCTCCCTCTACTCCATAACTTCAGTTCTTCTTCCCTCACTTGACCCCTCCCCACATAAAAGTTCAAACACCCGCTCTCGGTCCCCACTCGGTGGGGCAGCAGCGAGCACAATCTCCTCCCTCCTCTCAATCCAGGAGCACAGCTTTCACATCACGGTGCATGCTTTGTACCGGGCTCCTACCGAAATATAAAAACACATTAAAAACTGAAGCTCCTGACAGTGCCACAGCAGTGACACAAGAGGCAGGTGCTGTGTAACCATGTGATTGTCACCAGAGTGGAGCTACCACCTCTAGCTGCAGGAGTTCCTCCACTGCATCACGCACATCGGATTTCCTGTAAAAGACAAATATTGTACACCATCAGAAGAAGTGTTGCCCTTCTCAGTCCTTCTTCCAAGAGTAGGTTAAAAAATAGTTGTAGAGATACTGGCCCCACTCCATGCGGCAGCTCCTCACTCTCTACTGCTACCACATGTGAGATGGTGTGTCAAAGGATTAAAACATCTCAACAGAATCAAATCAAAAGCTGTATTATTGAATATGTAACCATGTCTGCCTCTCTTGCCTTTATATACCATCTTCACTCTGTTGCCTTCCTTTGCTGCTTATAATCGTACCTCAAAGGTCAGTGTTCTCGTTAAGTATCTCACATCACTGTGCATGTCTGTCGATCGACTTGTGCTCTTTATCCATCTTTATCCATCTTTACCGCACTTTGACAAATGTTTTCTTACTGGCCTGCTCGACAAAGCATATGGTCTCATCTTTTGTACCCTACGACTAAACTCTGGAAGCTAATACTTTCCTATTTATTCTCCGAATTACAGTTTGCAATCTTGTAAAGCAGCTGTTAATCGCTCGTCACTTTCAACTGTTGATTTGCTACGTGAATAAATTCACAATGTCATCTGCCGAAAGGGAGTCCCACAAATATCTCAATGTGCAAGAAGAACCCCAAGCGAGTAGAGGAGAACACAGAGGGAAAGAGGAGCTCTGAAGAGGTGAGGGAGCCCCACGGAAGCAACAGCCATGAACATGTGAAGGACTTTGTGGGATTGTGAATTCATCAGGTGACCCACAGAGGCGGCACTCACCCCCAGTGGCGCCTCCACAGCTCCTCGAGGTCAGCACGGCTGCTCACCAACACGCTTTGGCACAATTATGACAAAATATCCACAGAAAATTAAATATTATAGATTTCGAGATTAACCAACGCCATATTTAAATGCACACATGTAAAGTGTTCTATCGAACATTTGTACTGTATCATTTCCAATGATCTCACCTGGACATGAGCTGTGCATACTCTCGGATCATCGCACCCAGACGAGTGATTTTCTGCAGCACAAACTCCTGCAGCTCACCTGCTGGGAACAACCACGAGTCCTGCTGTTCAGGGAAGTGCTCTTTGAGATGTAGATTGTAGCAGCATTGCGTCAGGGTCACACCCATCACCTCCGATTGGCGACGTACGGTGCGAAAGAAGTTCTACATACATCCCATTATTTATAAGCAATGCTTTTTTCTGGCTCAGGGTCCAAACCACGTTGAGGCGTCATGTACACGGTTTTGTTTTACCCAATCTCAATGCGTTCCGACTTGGTTACAAATAAAACAAACGCAAACACCTGGCAGGCCGATTTAAGTAAGGTCCTTAAACACACCTCGAGCTTGTAAGAAATGTGCCAGTGTATTATTGTGCTGCACCAACATCCAGTGGCAGCTACGCATGAGAACAGCTGAACATGTGAGATGGCAACACCGAGTTATGGCGTGACCTCTCGAGCCCCGGATTCACACTCGCTGGTACATTGTCCATATGCCCTGCCACGTGCAGAGAGGGTGGTCATGAAACTAATGTTAGGTCCTGGGAATGTGTGTGCAGTCGTGACCGGACTGTGACCACCGGCTGACCGGTGGAAGCAGGGCCCGAACCCAGCAAGTCGGCGTCTCTGACGCGACCACGACGATGACCCCCGAGGCCATCCAGCCCCCCCCCGCCCCCCACTCTGCGCCGCTGATTAAAACACAAAGCGACCCCCCCCACCCCCCCGTTCAGCCGAACACCAAGGCTGGAACGTCCATCCGACTTTCGCCTCCCTCGTGGTAATGTTTACACATTGCATTAGACACTCATTTGAGTAACAAAAATAACATTGTGGAATGAAGCTATGACAGTAAAATAATTCAAGTTGAAATTTGTTTTTAAACTACAATACCTCAATTGTGCCACAAACGGTCTCGAGGCCACGTTTCCGTGTTTGGTCTTGTAACATTCCATTTGCGGACATCCCTCTAAATGCAATCGCTCATTGGCCGAAATACTTCATGCACTTTCACAGCAAAAGCACAATTAACGTTAATTCAAAGTTCAAAGTAGACCGTAAGTTGTTGGGGTTTTTTTAGGACCGATAACCCAGCGTGCTCGCCTAGACCCCTGCCTTGGAGAGGGGAGCAGCACAGGCGGGGCCACTAGGCCGAGGGGGGTGGCGCGTGACGGGACCGGACGGGTCATCGTGGCCACGCGGCAAAGAGGACCTGGAACCCGGCGTCTCCGTTCTCGACTGTCCGCCTGGGCGACCCGAGACACACAGAGATCCTCCTGCTGCTCCTCCTACCGTCTTCTTCGCTCTCCGCCCGAGCTCCACCCAGCAGGGTCCGTCCGCCCGCAACGGTCCGGGCCAGCGCCTTGACCAGCAGCTGCTGCTGCGGCTGCTGGGAGCAGTTCACCTCCATTGCCGTCCTGCCATCAGCACGCCCCCCTGCGCCTCGGATCATACAGCAACAACAAACTGTATACCTTGTCAAGCCACTGTGGGAGAAGGCCGACTCGTGGAAGGGGTTTGTTGTTTGACCATACTTCACCACGGTGGACAGTGCAGCTTGGTGGCATTTAAAAACATCATCACCCGCCACCGATGCCAGCCGTGGCAGGGAGTCAATTTGCCGGCTTTATAGCGCTAACCACTGTGCCACGGATCCTCGCAATAATGTTGGCAAATATTTACCGAAAAAAGCCTCGATCGAGCCTCAAGGCTTTAAAAGGAGCCGGCTTCAAGATGTTTGGCCAAACCCCAAACGTAATGATTCGCAAAACCGTCCACAGTAGATATGGAGTCGGCACAACGCTGGAATTTGTTTTGCCACAACACGGGGATTGAGGCACAACGCGAGGCAGGCCCCCAGAGACATTGATCGCAGCAAGTGACACAACACGGTAGTTGTAGTGCACAAGTCACGAAGCGTGTGTGACCCCCTGTTCACATGCCGCTGGCAGCCAGAAGTTCGTGGCTATGTCCAGATGAACGCGTCCATGAAGCAGGAACTCAGAAGGACTCCCACAAGGTGGAACAGAATCGGTGAGAAGTCATCTCAAATGTTACCATCTGGTTACCGGGACTCTCATAAGATGTAGGAGGCATAACGTGTCGAATTCAATCACGATACAATATTTAGAATTAGAATCTATTGACCGGGTCAAAATGCATTTATAAAACACATGACAATTAAAATGTCCTGTTTGCGAGACAATTGGAAACTAATCAAATATTTAAACGAATTGCACGTTTAATATGTATTGTGATCGAATGGCATGCTGCGTGGGGCTGCGAACTGGCCGCATTGAAGATCACCGAGTGAATATGCAGTCGGCGGCTCATGTACTCAGGAGTGTGTGGATGGCGTGGTTTTCACCTCCCCGATCTGAGGCGGTGGTGGTTCCAGAGAATGTAGGCAACAGTATTTCGCAGACACGCTCAGGTATGGTAAACTTTATTGGAATTTTATTTTGTACACAATTGCGATCTGGCACTATTGTGGAGATCGGTAGATTTATATTGTGGAGCAGGAGTGGTGGTGAACCGGCTAGAGAAAGCATATGGTGTGTAAATGTTAAATCGTGTTAGGATACGTAATTGTACATCACTTCCCCTCCTGAATGTGCAGGGAGTCAAATCTCCATGGGAAAGTCGTATGTCTTCAAGCCCAAAATCTGAATACATTAAAAGGTATTTCGAGTTTTTAGCCAATATATTCTACTTATGCAGTCACGTCAAAATGTCCAGTCCATTCCTCACGACTCTAAACCTATTAACAAATGCATGTACTTCTAATCATGTGGACAATTACATATTAATAACTTAGCATTTTCTCAATACATTGCTGGATGAAGGCAACCCCCCCACACCTTGTCGGTCGTGGGGGTTTGACCATATTTCAGAGCTGCTGAGAGCGGGTTTGATGAAGAGGGTTGTCCAGGATTCCTTGGTTTATCACTCTTCAATGATGTGAGCCGTGGTCAGAAATCTAAAATAGGCGGTGCCAGGTTCACAGCAGGACATTAAGCACTTAATCACACAAGTTTTTTTCCCTTAATACACATGTGTAGTGTACATGCTGTTAATCTAAGCATTTAATAAAAAAACCACATCGCAGGCACATCTCAGATTAGCAAGGTTGGCTATGTATGGTGCGAAAGAAGTTCAACATACATACATCTCTGTAGTTGGAATAAGAGGTGCAAGTGCGAGGCATGTTTTGCCATCCCAGTGAGTGTTGGTTTGATTGTGCTCTTCTCGGTTGGTGAGCGAGTCGAGGACGTCGCGCATATCGTTGTAGTTTCGAGTCTCTCCACAGAACCGGTTTTGACCTATGCACTGGTATTCGTCTGATCCTGAAGGGATGGTGTACCAAGTAGACAGACTAAAATATGAACTTAAAATCTTCCAATTGCAAGTTAGCCAATGCCACAGTGCTGCTTTACAAACAAGGTTCTGTAAAATTTCGATTTAAAGCTTTCGTGACTGCAGGGATTCATCTTCTTGGTTCTTTCGGTAAAGTCACGTAGAAGGGAAGTAATAAAATAATAAAAATAAAACATAATAAATAATTCTCACGACGTTTCGGCCGCAACGCAAGCATTCAGACGCTGTCTCCCCGACAGACCTGGTCTTTACCTGAGGACGGCAGCTTGCGTTCTGGCCGAAACGTCGTGAGAATTATTTTATTATGTTTTATTTTATTATTTTATTACGTGACTTTACCGAAAGAACCAAGAAGGTGGTTCTGTAAAGCAGGATAATCAGAATCACACATGAATGGGACTTTGGGATGATGCAACAGGAAGACAACCTGTTCATGCTAACAGATTTTTAAAATGTTTTTATCTTAATTTAACAAACACTGCTACTCCACGGAAACTATTCTGAAATCAGACTTATAGGTCATGACATATCCGCTAATACATCTTAACTCAACCTGGATTAGGGCAAAGACGTATTGTGCAAAGTAGACATGTTTGCCCAAATTCATCTTGGCAGAAAGGCTTTTCCCCCCATGTTATTTGGCAGGAAAAGACATTACCATTAAATCCTACCAATATGGCTTTTCTGCTGAGAATTGGGAGAAAAGTGGCATAGACCACCATGAATCAGGACTGTTTAATCAATTCTCTCATCTGATGAACGAAATGTATTTATAAAGCAATTATGTGACTGAATTATGAGGCTTGTCTAAAACTGCAACACTTTAGGGACGTGTTTTTGGAAACAAAAATGGTACTGAGGCACGAGCCAGCACTGCTGAGATCCTGGGCGACAATCCAGGCAATGACCAAACCAGATCATCATGTGCTGGTGATCTCAGTCAAGTTACACATGACTGCACAGCATATCTACTTTCTCACTGAATTTGAAATGTGCCAAATATGTGGACCAAATATTTAAGTTTTTAACGCATGAAAAATGTGTGGTACCCTATGTGAATACAAGGCCAAATATAAGTACCTCCAGAATTACAGTAGGGTTCTGTGGCACCATATCTGGGGGCTAACACAAAGAGATGCACTCCCCACTGTAATAATGAAAACATGAAAATGTAGTCATGTCATGATACTGATAGGACAAGTTGGGATAATATTGGGAGACAAATCGAAACGCACATTACACTGTAGTTATACAGTAGGAACACAAAACATCGAACACTTGTGGAACTCTTGACACCCCACAGGCAGGCATTTCAATCTGTGCGATGCAGCCGACCACAATCACCCCACCATGTTAATTATAATTACGTTTGCTTGGCCTTCGTGGAGCATTGCAGCTAGGCATTTACTGTGAACTTTTGTTTGAAGAGACGAATCTGTCCAGATGCCCTGCACTCTGGCCCTTATTCTCTACTGACTGCACATGGCTCCGTGTTCAACATTTTGATAAGATGTATTTTCATGTGATGGAAACATTTGTACTGCAAACCTTAACAGGGTCAAGACATCTTGCTTTTTGGATATTTGGGGACTTCCTTGTTTGTGAATTGCTGAAAAGAATCATACTTTTACAAACTTCGCTTATTGCAAATCTGTTATAATTTGCTGAAAATTCAATCTCCAACAATGTGTTATTTCGTGGCAGCTGCCTGTTACACGGAGTTAACCAGTGACATTCCTTACGAAGCTTGAAACCTGCTGATGGGCTACGTTGTTTGCAGCATGGTTTTGAATATTTCACGTCTCAGAAAATCCATTGTTGTACAGCACTTCTACGCTCCCCACCTTCACCAACCCAAACGGATCAACGTCTTGAAATCAAATGCACCTCATAACCCATAGTGTGGCGGAGGTCCAGGGTTTGCTTTGTTTAGACACTGCTGGGATACATTTATTCATTAGGTCGACTGGTTGAAGTAAACGTTTCTTCACGGATTAAAACACTTCTTAGGATTTAAGTATTATTTGGTTTGGGATGTTTTTTTACATACAGTAGTTGAAAATTTAGATCCTAGATAAACTCATCTGTAAGCAGGTAGAACACATGGCACAAGTAGCCTACCTGTAAACCCATTTGCCTGTACTATCTCCTTCCTGCAGGCACATTCTGGATGGATTATGTTTCCTGCCTGCCAGCTACAGCCCTTGGCGGTCCACCAAACCAGTCACCAAGCCGATGGGGTCAAAGGCAACCACCACTAAACATCTGTTGCAATTTCAGAAAAAAAAACAACCAATGTCTAAGACCACCCACACCACACAAAGAGTTTAAAGAGAAGCCAGCTCGCTGTAAAGGTCTGCTTTTTATTGGCAAAATCTATCACTTCCCTTCCAGAAAAGAGAGCATTATTACAATAATTAGAGTTTTATGAACACAATTTTTTTCTAGTTTTATACAAGGCAAACTGTTTGTGAGCTATAAAATAACACAAGGGTAAGCAATTGTACTCTGTGGTATATAATTAAGGGCAAATTAAGGGCGTTACCATCACTAATTTACATGAATAGCTATAAGCAACTGTACACCGTTCTGAATCAAGATGCTTTTTTCCTGTAATGCATTAACGTTTGCACGCTTGCGTGGTATGCAGCCGTCCGAGAGCCAATACTGTGCCGCTCGAGTGTGTGAGTACCGGTGGCCAACAAAGGAGTGAATTTGCAAATCGCTTCAAGTCTACGCGGAAGACTAGGAATTCGTTTTCTCCAATAAACCATGCAGCACACAAGCAAGCTGAGGAGGAAGGGGTCTCAGGAGGCAAGGGAACACGTGGGTGGGTAGGGGAGGAGATTGAGGAAAGGCAGTAAGAGATGCCCACTGCTTACCTGCTCATCCTACGCTACTGCCATTCCCACACCTCGTCCCACCACACCCATCTGTCCACCAGCCCCACGCCTCACTGCTCCTTATAGAACCATGACTGTGTTAAGTCAGAACCTGTGACATGCTGTTCACCCAAATCTGCATGATTAACGCTGTGTATTTCGATAAATCAATCATTAAAAAAAACAATAGCTGTTGCGTCCATGTGTTCCACAGACTGCACAGTTTCCTGCCTGCATTTGCTCGCCAATCTGGACCCCTGCTCCTTCCCAACAGGTGCAGCACTAGCGTCGCTACGACAGTACGTCTACCGAACGAGCCTCCAGCGCACGAGGGGATATGGGGGCGTACGTGCCAACGGAATCGCCTGGACGAGCTCCCCCCCCCCCCAACACAACTCTCGTGTGCGCAATCTCCACCGGCCCAATATCACAATCCCTCTCCCAACCACCCCAAGCCTGCACACACCCCAGCCTCATGAGAGACTGGCCTGACAAATGCATTGTCAAATAAATAACACAAAATAGGCTACTATAGTGTTGGGATGGATGGCTAGCCACTCACAAGCACGTGTGATATTTTGTAAATACAGGTTAATGTACAAGTATCACATGGTGACGGGTGTGACTTACGTGCACACGCTGCACCACCACAACCACCACTACTACCCCGCTCTGCGTGGAGCTGCGCCCCTCACGAGTCATTCCCCGCCACAGCTGTATTTTACAAGATTCCCCCCTCACCGCCCCGATGGCCCAAGAGAGTGTGCGCGGTGTCGCCCGAACTGCCGAGCGTTGCATCACAAGAGGCAGGAAAGACAGCATAGGAACCTGCCTGGGCTTCAAAAACACCCACGCACGCATTTTATGCAGACACGCACGCAAGCACCACTTCAGCAGACGACACGTGCCTGTCATGAACTTGCAAGCACACACGCACGCACTCCCATCTATCCTAAACACATGCTGCATATGTGCATGTAACGCGATCATGTACGCACACACAGGCAGCACACATCATGATCTGTCAGTGTTCATGGCAATGGAAAGCGGTGCCATGTTGACGGTGCGGCCTGAAGCTGCTGCACGTGCCACCCCCCCACCCTGGCTGTTGGCTACCTCATCTGTTGGCGCCTCGTCTAAGTTGGTGGTGCCCTCCACTGCTTTCTGTCCCCATCATTGTACCCACTGACCTGCAGTTTCTGGAAACACCACTAAACTGAAAAAAGTACATTGTTACTTTTAAAGTAGTATCGTCTTAATGGCTAAATACTGTTGCCTGCAAGTACAACTATTGATGCATACAACAACAGTCTGCCTGTGGTTGTTGTCAAAAACAGATATTAAGTTCATGTGCTACGTATTCAAATATACCTCAAGACGAAGCAAATTTCGGGTATCCAGCTGGGTGGCAATATGGCAGTGTTGAACTAACATTCAGGTCGTGAGTCTACATCTCGGATGGAGGTCGACCCACCCTGTAAATTCCACCGAGCTCGATGGTTACAACACTGGTATGTCAACAGTGGGTCGTCTATGCATTAAATCCCCTTTGCCAAAAGAAAGTAGAATTTTCTCCACTGGCCCTAGACCTCCAGTAATGGTGGCGAGCATAATCCCTGTTTGGGAAGTGTAACATCAAGCATAATGTTTTTTTGTGTTTTTGCTTTTTTGTTAAAAACCATATTGTGTTTAAAATAATATAGATATTTCCCCACGCAAGCGTGTAACATTGGACCTGCATCTCGTGCGTGTGTAACATTTCATTACTGTGCGCGTGCCACTTATTCATAGGTACCCAACAGTTGGTTAAAATGTGGGCTTCTCCAATGGACAGAAAATATTTTCCCATGTCAACTACGAACAAATCTCAGCCCTACCGTAACCCAATGCCTCGAACAACACATTATCGGGATGACCACAAACTTATGTTCCTCACACCATCTAGAACACAAAAATGAATCGATAACCACCTTCTCAGACAGAATAGCTAACATTTTGGGTTGTTATTTTTGGCAAAACTGGTGTCTTTGCACTGCGATGAAGATTGACCAGAGCATATAATAAAGTAATAACAGGCCCAGTGCATCTTATGGCCTAGTATCCTGGGGAGAGCTTTACTTTGCTTTCCTTTCCTGTTCTGTTCCTTTTTAAAATTTTGGCAGGGAAGGGCACAGATAAGTTTGGCCAGCTATGTATAAAAAGGGCACGTTGACACGGCGGAATATGGAACTGTAGTGGGGGGAGGCATGCAGCTCTCATTCAACACGGTGGATGTGAGAGGGAGGGAGGAAGGGGAGGAGAGGGGGTAGAAGAAGGGAGGCCGAGGCAGCCCCGGCGCTTAGCGTGCATCGTGGCACAATCCCCCCGAGAGGGAGTGCTACCTTTGTACAGTCTCGAGTACACAACACGCACGCACGCCCCTCGTCAGATCCTGCCAAGCAAAGCGTATTTAAAACACAGCAGAGGAACCCTCCGTACATACGGCAACAGCATAAAATTGAGAATACATTTTCAGCTATACAAGTCACCAACATACATTCCTATTATACCGTAGTACCCCTCCACCAGTCGACAGCGGGTTAGGGGGTTCTGGGTTGAAGACAGCCCTGTGCGCGGGGATCCGAGTGTTACAGTGACCGTGGGAAATAATTATGCCCCCAGGAGAAACGAAACGCAGGGGGTAAAAAAAAAAGCCCAACACCACCCCAGCCATCTCGCTTATTTCCTTTACGCAAGCGCGACCTGTGTTAGTGTCCCACGCCTGCGTCAATCCACTGAGCCCCGGCGTTGGCAGACGTGCGTCCCGCGGTCCGAGCCCATGGCCCGTCGCCGGTTGGTGTCGGCGAGCGGCCGAGGACTCTGGGACCATCTGCTCGCGGCAGGACGCAGTGCGAAGAGTGGTTGGTGGTGCCTCCGGGCACGCACCTCACCGCTCCCCTGCCCCCCACCTCCCCCCACCGTGCGCCGTAGCCGAGAGCCCGCAGGAGGTGGGCGGGCGACGGGGCACGCGTTTGTGCGGCCGTTATACGAAGACCTTTGCCAGGGCGTCAGCACCGGCGCTGGCGATGAAGGCCTTTGATGGGTGGAAGGCCACGTCGTGGATTGCCTCGTCAAACTTTTTGCGGTGCGCAGTGATCTCCTGCACACACGTCTTGCTCTCCAGGTTCCACAGCCGGATTGAGCAATCGTGACCTGACAAAGAGGGAGAGGGATCACTGCTATACGGAGTGCAGGAGGCTTCTGTTTGAGAGGCCACCAGGTAGGGGCCGCAGGCTGCTAGTCAACGCAAAGCACATGTGCAGGGCTTGTGCCAATGAGCAGGTAGTTAGGCACCTGGGGTAGAGGGTACATTGCATTTCATTTATCTAAATTACCATTACGTCAATCCACATTACCATTGTCTCTGATCTCTTGTGATGACAGCCTTCATCACTATGTGGTATACATTTTAACACAGATGCCATGATGACGTAACAAATGTATGTGGAGCGGAACAATGGAGCACAGTCATTCACTGCCCATCAATATCAATGATTGGCGACACTGAAGCAATCCATCAACTTACAGCCAGTGCCATTGATTGGCTCAAAACCTTAGATATAAATGTACAACTTTTGAATGACAGCTACGGTGTCATCCACTGCTTTATAACCGAGGTGCACATTTTATATTGGACACTGAGTAATTGTTAGATGCCAAACCTTAGTTGCTTGACTATTCTATCACATCTTGAATGTTGACATTTCCTTGCTGCACATCTTCAAAATTACCATTGTAAATAAAATAAAGGCCCAGGAATACATTCGAACCAAACTCTAGCTTACGTTGAACAACTTAAACAGATCATTTAAAACTGGCCAGCATAAGTACAGGCGGTGTCCGGTTTACTACAGTTCGATTCACGATGATCCACATTCACGACATTTACAGAATACCACCATGGATCGATTTACGACACAGAAACTGGATTAATTTCGCATCTTCCGACAACTCCAAATATATTTGAACAGTCAGTCTTGGTTTCCGATGTGACTTGGCATAGAGATTTTGTTATGCTCTTTACATATTAAACCCTGTTAAATATGGTTGATAATAGGAATAAAATACGTGGCAAGTGATCTGCTTATAGTTTAACACGTCGGCTTTCGCAACCAATATCATTCATAATATAGGTTTTTTGGGTTAGACCGCGTAAATATAAATGTGTTATTAAATCCACCATCACCCGACGCAGCCAATTCGTTAGGTTCGTCACATAAACAAAACATGCCAATTCGTTACTGTACAGCACACCTGTGTGTTGGAGAGTAAAACCACAACATTTACGATCTGAGTACACACAATACAGTTTAAGAAATGTTATCATTCCGTTGTTCAATGACATACAAATAGCAGTTATTTATGTAGAAAAGCCGTAAGATATGCTTTTCTGGAGGATAATACATGCGCATTTTTCACGTAGGAAACTGAAATAATCTGGAGAATATCCACACAAGGGGTTAAAACATTTCAAATATGTGTTTTCGATTGAGACCACAATGCTGTCAACTGGCCACCACACAGCCCAGGAAGTTGGGAGTCTCAAAGTGCTTGACACACCACGACTATTAGTTATATTTGAAATCGTATTATTTCTGGCTCTTTATATTCTTCTGACTCCACATTAGGGGTTTGCATTCCAAGTTATTGGGACACTGAGCAAAATTAAGTCGTGAAAGAACACCACCGTGGGTGGTCTCATTGTGATCCGAAACGGCACTGGCTCCATGCCGCACTTGGAAAGAGTAACAACAGTAAAGTATGTAACTAGAAAAGCCTCGATGTATCTCAAATATATTTCATAGGGCTCCTACATTGGGATAGTTTGCCAATTCCAAAAGTGTTATACATGTGGGAGAAAACCAGAATATCCAGAGAAATTCCCCACATAGGGAGGGATAAAACACTTTCACAGGCATAGATTCACAAACCCGCGAGAGCTGTACCGTCTTTTCCAAGCTTTTTCACGGCCCAGCAGGTTTTGGAGTTTCACAAACCTACATGATCCACCAACCTTTGCCTCCAAAGTACAGAACTACATCGTGCTTCAACACACTGGCTACATCGTGCTTCAGCACACTGGCTACATCGTGCTTCAGCACACTGGCTACATCGTGCTTCAGCACACTGGCTACATCGTGCTTCAGCACACTGGCTACATCGTGCTTCAGCACACTGGCTACATCGTGCTTCAGCACACTGGCTACATCGTGCTTCAGCACACTGGCTACATCGTGCTTCAGCACACTGGCTACATCGTGCTTCAGCACACTGGCTACATCGTGCTTCAGCACACTGGCTACATCGTGCTTCAGCACACTGGCTACATCGTGCTTCAGCACACTGGCTACATCGTGCTTCAGCACACTGGCTACATCGTGCTTCAGCACACTGGCTACATCGTGCTTCAGCACACTGGCTACATCGTGCTTCAGCACACTGGCTACATCGTGCTTCAGCACACTGGCTACATCGTGCTTCAACACACTGGCTACATCGTGCTTCAGCACACTGGCTACATCGTGCTTCAACACACTGGCTACATCGTGCTTCACACTGGCTACATCGTGCTTCAACACACTGACTACATCGTGCTTCAACACACTGACTACATCGTGCTTCAGCACACTGGCTACATCGTGCTTCAACACACTGGCTACATCGTGCTTCAACACACTGGCTACATCGTGCTTCAGCACACTGGCTACATCGTGCTTCAGCACACTGGCTACATCGTGCTTCAGCACACTGGCTACATCGTGCTTCAGCACACTGGCTACATCGTGCTTCAACACACTGACTACATCGTGCTTCAACACACTGACTACATCGTGCTTCAGCACACTGGCTACATCGTGCTTCAGCACACTGGCTACATCGTGCTTCAGCACACTGGCTACATCGTGCTTCAGCACACTGGCTACATCGTGCTTCAACACACTGGCTACATCGTGCTTCACACTGGCTACATCGTGCTTCAACACACTGACTACATCGTGCTTCAACACACTGACTACATCGTGCTTCAGCACACTGGCTACATCGTGCTTCAACACACTGGCTACATCGTGCTTCAGCACACTGGCTACATCGTGCTTCAACACACTGACTACATCGTGCTTCAGCACACTGGCTACATCGTGCTTCAGCACACTGGCTACATCGTGCATCGCTTTAGATTGCGGGAAAACGTGCGTGCTGTTCCGATGGTGAGGCAGGCTACCAATAAAACAGCCCCTTCAGCGGTTGCCTCTGTCAGGTAAATAATGCCATTCCACTCCCAGCTGCAGCATATGGGAATTTCATGAGGACGTGGCTGAAGAATGTGTCGTGTCCAGCTATGAATATGGGCACATCTGCAGAACAGCGACGTTCACAGCTCCATCATGATTCAAGTTGTGGTCCCGGCAAAAAGTGGTGTAGTTTCTATATCTGTCTAACTCGTTGCAGACTTGCTGGATGTGTTAATGTTTTACACATTTTTATAAAGCACAATTATTAAGTTTAATATTTTATGACATTTGTATCATCTTAAAATTTTTTAATATCTCCAAAACACCCTAACTACACTCAGATCCTTAATTTATCCATGCAAGAGCCCATTTTTCTTATGCCATTTTACACTGATGTTACTCCCAGCCAGGAATCGAACCCAGGTTGTTTGGAATCGTGGTGCATTACACACACCACTGCACCCCCAATCCACCCCATAACACATGATCCATCAGACTCCCCACACAGTAAGTACGACACACGACCCACACACAAAATGTCCACCCCCTTCAAGTGCCGGCCAGAAGGGTGTTTGATGCACGGTGCTATTTGCGTGTGCGAATGTGCACCCTCACTTCCAGACATCAGGTAGAGGCCGTTGGGGTCCACGGCCAAGCAGGTGACGGCGTCCAGGTGAGCCACCATCGAGTGCACCTGCTTCCCTGTTGGTGCAAAGTAAGCCCCATTGAAGAGCGAAGGTGTATCAAGTCGATTAGCACAGTTGGCTACAAACAGAGAGAAAACACGTTCCTTCAGAGTGGGCAGGTAGGAACTTGGTTGGACAGCGCATTCGTGCACGACAGACAAATATGCACGACAGACAAATAATCCCTGGTGGGCAGTGAGGAACCTGTTGTTCCTACCTGTATAAGATCAACATACATTAATACAACTACAAATCAGGAGACCAATGGGACAAGTGATAGGAATCAAATCCAGAATGTCTCCCTGCTCAAGTGGGCCTTGGCAGCCAGAGTTAAAAATGATACATTCCTATGTCGGGCATTGTTTATTCTAGAAAACAAGCAATGGAAGAGCATTTATGATGCTTAAAAAATGTCAACGTGATATAATTCACAATTGAGCATTGAGGTGCTCGTCTTGTTAGCCCTGAACAAGTGGTGGATGTTCCTCATTCCTATGGTAGGGGTGAGTCTATCCATTGGACCATGGGTTGCATATCAACCCCCAAACAGATTTTAACTCGACCCTTATGACTGCGACTCGCTGACCCTTAAACACCTGGCCGAATGGGCACTTGTTATGGCCAAAGTGGTAAGCTAATTAACTTCCACTTTTTTCTATTACAACCACAATCTTTGGATCTCACTAAGTCTAATCAGAGAGATTCAATCCATTACTTTGTTTGAATCATATTTAAAAGCATATTTTTTCTAATTTGGAATTTTTTAAAATTGTTTGGTATTATCCTGAAGAAGGATGCGATGAGCTTCATGCGAGAGACTGAATCACTATGCGATGACGTGTCATATAAGGTGTTACGTAATGCAGACGATGTTGATGTACCCGTGTTGTTGTCGAAAAACTTGATGTGACGGTCCTCGTGTGCCGTCACGGTGATGGGCAGCGTTGGGTGGGACACCACACGGTTTATTTGGTTCCCCAGCGGTGCGTCTGGAGTAGAGATGGTACAAGGGCATACACACATGTAGACACACACGGGTGCACACGACAGTACCAACAAATATCAGCCAAGCAGCGAAGCAACGACTTTAGCAAAAACAAAAGAAACACAAAAGCATTTACAATAAGTTTGTAATTGTGAATGCCACCGATTGTCACCACCACTATCTACTGAATCTCAGGAGACATTTTCATAAGGTTTTTGTTGACATGTTAAACCAAATACACCAAGTATTTTGCATATTAGGATTTTATTTTTTTACGAATGCTATGAACACACATTGTGTAAACTTATGAGAAATATATTAATATTATGAAAATTCTATGTCAGTACTACACAAGGTAAATAATAATAAATTGTAATCTTTTCCAATCTGCTGATGTAAAATAGCCTCCCCCACCCCACGGACTGACGTATTAGCCACGGCTGGGATTCAAACTCAGGTTGCTATCTTTATAGTGCATACACCAACCACTGCGCCATTGGCATAATACTGGTTAATTACAGAATAAATAAAGTGTTTTATGGCAGCAGTTGTACCAAATCGAATAAGTCACATTTCTATGATGGAGGACAGTCTCACCACAACGAAACACGATTGGCTTCCCACAAAGTGCTACTGATTGTGTGCATCCCAAAGGTGCGAGCCAGGTCAGGCATTCTAACCTTTTACTGATGAGTGTAAGCGATCTACTTAGTGCCACCGCACCGGATAATGGTTATAATGTATCTATTATGCTGTTGGTTTTAATGTTTAGTTTGGAGTGCCGTACTCGAATAAAGAAATTTGGAAAAATTAATTTGTGAGAATCCGTGCATATGCAGATGCACATGAAGATGCTGGAAATGCACATTATAGCAAAGAGTAACTTGAAAGTTCAAAACAGAATGGAACAAAATCATATATTCTCAGCCCATAATGCTTACGGTGTTGGTAAATTAACACTTGTGGGAAGCCAACAGTGGCCGTCCTTTGGAGAGGCTTACCCCCAACGTGAACAACATGGACTCCCCACTTCTGGCACAGGGACGGCTGCTGGCCTCACCAGTTTCAATGCGAGACTCGAGTGTGATAACGGGCTTGGCAGTCTCCATGTCAAACACCAGCGTGTCACCGCCCCCAAACGTGGCCACCAGGTGCGAAGCATCGCTCACAAAGTCCACCGACACCGGGATGCCATGCTCTGTACAAGGCAACGCGGGGAGAGAAAGGGGAATGTGAGCACTGCAGGGCTGTGGTACTGGCACCGGTCGTTCAGCTGAATGCCAAGGCACATGTGACACAAAGCTTTGTAACGATATAAGAAAACACACGCTTCAAACACAACAATAGGCATCACCCTGGTAGCCAGGGTATCAAAGCTGAACAGGGTGTTGGACTGTACGCATTCTGCATGTGGTAGTATTCTAAAGTGGCAATGTGTCCACGCTGTGTGCAGTAATGTGGCTCGTTTTGTAGCACCTAGCCTGACACGAGCTGGGGTGACATCACTTCCTCAGTGGCAAACGATGGTTGTTATTGCATTGATGCTAGTCCTGTGCTGATCCTCCATACTCATCCCTGCATACCACTCCCCCGTCATCCAATTCCTTATATGCACTCTGTTATAGCAACCAATGCTTTCTGTCAAAGCCTCCAGTCAACCATCACTCAGTGGGGAGGTTACTCATTCTCCTCTGCTACACCAACTCCTTTTGTTCCTTTGCGACTGCCTCACTCCATAAAATACATTTGCCCCCTGTTACTGTACAGTATCCTGAAATGAAGTCATATTTAGAGGGTGTACAAATCCGAATCGTATTGAATTGTGTAGTGCTGGACGAACTAGCTGTGCTGCATCTGGTACTGTGGCCTTATAGAGCACACACCCTTGTCGGGATTGTAGGTGTTGAGGCAGGGTGGCGAGTCCTGGCACGAGGGGTCCCACAGGCGCACGGTGCCGTCAGCGGAGCACGAGAGCAGCCGGCGCCGGAGACTGCTGTAGGCCAGCCCCCACACAGCGTCGCTGTGCCCCAGCAGCGTCTGTCCCAGCACACTCGCCTCTGTGGGACGCAAACACAATGAACACATAGCCACAAATGTACACATACAAACACGGCGAGGGCAATTTGTTAGGAAGCACCTCTTTAGGCTCAAACAGTGCACAAAGGGGTGCTATGGTCAGCACCACGCCTAGCCGTGTCTGTCTCCCCAGTGTTGATATATTACTAGCTACTGATGCCAATCGCGGCTACGATCGGGTTTGTAGCGCAGTGTGCTAACAAGCTACTACGGCACAGATTCCCATATCACACATGTGCACACACGCACGGTAAAACAGGAATATACACGTATGAAGAGGCACCAATACAGAATATCCTGGTACTATTGGATTTGTGCATCAATCAGAAGTCACATTGAGGTTTACAAGATGACAATGTTGCATACCGACCACTAATCCACAACAATATATGTACAAATTTTACCCTGAAAAGATCCTCATCAGTGAGCCATACCCAGCAACAGACTGCCATGAAAGCCTCCAGTTACATGAAGAGGCTGCCTCTTCACATAACTGGTTAATGCTGCTTCCGTGAGAATGTATTAACATAGAAAAATAAATAACTCCCCACTCAAACCATTAGAGTCGGCAGCATGGACACCACTTCATGGTTAAGATTAACTCCAAATGAAATTGAAGGGATGAGCGAGGCTGGCTTGACAAGTAAGATTACGTGAGTAATGGTACCATGCACCAGGAGACAAGGTGAGTGCATGTGTCTGTATGTGAGAGAGAGTTTCTAGAAAGCGAGAGCAGCAAGGGGGGCAAATGGTCAGGGCACGCACCAAAAGTGTCGTAGGGGTCGATGTTGGGACTAGGCATGTTCCAGCAGCGGATGGAGGCGTCCGTTCCACCGCTGAAGCACTGCTCCCCACTTGTGCTGATGGCCAAGCTCAGCACGGGGCCCCTGCACACCACAGCACGGAGAGGGGAAGACGCTCCATTCATGCATGGCCTTAGAATAGGCAAGCTTTGTTATAACCCGAGGATGCAGTCCTGGGGTCCGAGAGAGTCGGCATGAGGTCTTTGGTATGCACATTTTTAACTCGTGCATGACCTCACAGAAGACGTTTAAAGTTGTATCACACAACGGGATTAAAAAGGTAATCTTTTGTAAGAAAATACACATTAGTGCTTGTATGGTTCAGCTCTTTCAGACCTAGTCGTTGAAACAGTATAGAGTATTTAGGTTCACGTGCTAGAGTTAAAGGTCGTGAGGCAAGCATGAATATAATGCATCATCAACTACTCCACTTCAGAAGCTGCCTCAATAAACAGTAGCTGACCTGATTTCTCAGATGAACTGGCTCAGCGTTTCTGATCCCCTTCAACCACCTGGCCATAGCTTTCCCTGTGTTTACAACGAGACTAACCAATTTTGACTAAAATCAAATTACTTTGCCTGTTTAATAATTTCTGCAAGTGTATACTACATCATACCTGGTTGGGGTATAGTAGAGTACTTGAATAAAAATTGTAAGGTTAGGAGTTCAAATTTCAGTTTGGGGCCAACTCAGGCCATCAACCCCTCAGGGGAAATACAATGTAATATTTTGTGAAGGAATCAAACGTGGTTATACCATGGAGAGATGAGAGCCTGCCAAACTATGTGGAATGTTCACAACAGACTCAAGGTCACGACTGCCCAATGCCTGTTTAAAGCCAGTAAACTTAATTCGTCATTAACCTCACTAAGTATAATACAAATGTGTATCCGGTGTCTAGAGGTATATCTATAAAGCACCAAGTAAATGTGCTGCGCTGGACACAGCTGCATGTCAATAAACGCTTTCCAGCTAAACATTTTTCTCTCCCGTTTTAACTGTGGATTTGTGACGGCATGCACGCTCACAATTTAAATCAGGCAATTAATCAAACACTTGGTGACTCAGGGCCGCCAATTTAATCAGCCGGCAGTGCTCAGAACCTCTGGCGTGACCTTATAGACCGGAAAGATCAATCGCCCATCCGTTAGTATGAGTCATGGAGCTGTCCTGCAGCATCTTTCCATGAACGAGGCCAAGGCTTGTGAAGAGAGAAAGACCTTTCCAATGCATGCACTCTCCCTGGGGAAGTGTGCCCTGTGCCTTAAACCTGCCTGTAACGACATGCCAGTCCCAATGACTCTGGTTCAATTTCAGGCCATGCACACTGTACAACTGGCCCTGGAATCCAGCCTCAGCTTTCTCCATGCTCCCAACAAACGAGGGATGGAAATAATCTTCACTTATGGTCTTCAGGCAGTTGTGAACATTCCACATTTCTATTGTGGGAAACTGTTTATCCAAAAGTTACACTTTATTTTCTACCATCATGTCACAAGATGAATACATTTCCATTTGGAACTCTGGGAGTCAGCAGCATCAGACGACCCTGGGTGTGACATCAGAGAAGAGAATCAGTTCTGAAACCTAAATAGGCCTCATACCCTCACGAGGGCTGCTGCCTAACAATAAAACCTTTAACTTTATTTTCAGAGCTGGAATCACAAGTTATGGGAAGAAAAAAATCTACTGTGATTGTTAATGTGCATGCAGTCAATAGTGACCGGACTAGGACAATCAACTCATTTTACTTGACAACCCAATTTACCAATTTAATCACTGGTTTCCTGTATTTCAATTCATCTTCGCGTCTGCTCAGCACCATCGACACACAAGCCCCCCCCCCCCCCCGAGCCACCCAGCCACTTCTAGCAAACTCCAGCAACCCAGAAAGTGGTTGTCATTTGAAGCACGAAGGAGGTGAGGTTTTCCCCCAGCCATGATTTGAAACCACAACCTTCAGAATGCCAGCCAAGAAACAAAACCACAATGCCACCTCACCACCCATTTTAGGTGAATTTATCCTCATTTGTTGTTCTTCCCCGCAGCTTCGATTAGTACGGTTGGCTACATACGGTGCCAAAGAAGTTCAACATTCCTAAAATGTTAAATTAATGCATGGTAGGGTGTGGAGACCAACATAACAGACACAGAGGGCCCAGGCAGAGTGCTATCCCCACATTTTCCATCTACATGCTGAGTTAGCCTTAAAAAGCGCTCATTAACAGCGTTTACCCGACATTCTATTAAGCTAAAGAGGGGGGGGGGGAAACCTTTGTTTTGATCTCATTCATTGAGTCACGTCTCATCCACTAGGGGGCACAAGAAAAACATGGAAGGCCTCGCTCTCCAAAGAGGGAGTTGTAGAGGATCTGAAAACGATGGCGAAAAAATTAACGAATCCTATACGTACGCGTGATGGGAGGGTCACTGTAGAAAGGTAAACAGTCTCTCAATGCTTAAACTTTTAGAACTAATGCAATCTAATTCCACTTGATTATTTTGAATTATGCGTTGAACTCAGACCTACATCTTTAAGAGGTCCTTGCCTTTAATATCTGGCAGTTCAACAGCATTGATTAAAACAGGCCTGACTCTGCTGATGAGACACCGTATGTCAAAACCAGTCCAGTGTTTGCTTGTACTGAATCAATGCTGCTGAAATCATTCACTCCTAGATGGCTGTCGGGCCAGCGGCTTCTGTAAACAAGACTATTTTCATGTGGAAAGACAGATATACGACAGATGCATATTGTCACTTCATTCATTTAGTTATTTATATTATCAACGATGCTAATGGTTAATGACACTCGTCCAGATCATAAACATATTTTTGTGTTTTACATTGTACGTTTCTGGAGATGCCCCAAAATGTATGCACTCCCAGAAGGCTCTGTGGTGGACGGCAAGTTTAAACACTTATTTTTTATGTGGAGAAACCCATATTAAAGAGACATTGTCTGCTTATCGATTTAGTAAATTGTAGTTGCGTATTTATAGCTTCCAAGATGGGGATTTCGGCTCCTTTCATGACGTTCACAAAGGGTATTTAATGTCCACAAAAAACAAGTGACATTGCCTGAACAAATTACCACAGAACTGCACCATCGACCGTGGATTGGTGGTGAGCCCAATGACCACCATCAAAAGCAAAAAACATTTTCAGTTTCAAGTGCCCTAATTTGCTACTTCTAAACCTAATAAATACTGTTTTTTGCAAGGAAATGGGTTTGACCAAAGAAAGAATCAGGCTTGGAGAGATATATCTTGTTATCGCTATACAGGAAAATAAATTGGCAAGTTGCTCTTGTTGACAATAACGATGATTATATATTATCTCTATTTTCAATAGGCTATAAATGCAAATATGAGAACAAGAATATGCATTCAGAACAGAGATACATGGAAACAATAAATTATTCAGAAGAGACAAAAACATTATTCAGAAGAGAAGATATGAAAAATGTCTCCAGATATGAGGCACGAGAGTGGGGTAGGATAAGGATGTAACCAGAAGTCAATATAATGGTACAACAGTACGTATCGGGTATATGTTTAGAGTACACGTCCATAATACAGGTTTTTTGGGTTAGATCGCGTAAATATATAAATGTGTCAGTAAACCCGCCAACACCCGACACAGCCAATTAGTAAGGTTTGTCAAGTAAACAGAATATGCCAATTTGTTACTAGTACAGCACACCGGTGTGTTGGAGAGCAAAGCCACAACATTTAAAATCTAAGTATAACGTTTCGCCAGTAATTACAACTAGCTTCATCAGGCGACAGCCAGATTTGTGGTGAAATCCTCCTGTATAAGTACAATGTGCTTGCATAATGTGCATGCATAATGTACCAAACTGCCACCTGGCTATATACACCATTTGTATTGAACACAAACTGCACAGGTGATGCTACTGCTGCTGCAGATTGTGTGACGTTCACTCGCTGCCATGCAACTGTATATCTACTTACAATAGAAATTAATAAATAATAGCTGTGTACACCATTCACAGAAAAATTGGTGATTTGTCACCTTTTCGCTAAAGGTTGCCAAGATCCAGTAGATGGGTAGGAGAGGGGAGAAGTGGTTCCAATGTGAGTGTTAATGTTCCTTTCACAGATCAACATAACGGAACACCTGCTTGCTGAAAGATATCTCTTTAAAACCCGTATATGCTGGTGGTATTAAAGTGCCTGAACGTTACCTTTCTTAAGTTACGTTCACAGGTTTATACAAGGTCTCAAAACGTGCGTGTGCACAAGCTTCTCAAATTGTCGAATGCAGAAGAGTCTCCATGATCACGCGAGCGTTGTCGTGATGCTCACCTCCGCTAGAATTTCTGTGCCAGGGGAAGAAATTCTACATGGGAGTGGTGCTCACCTCTTTTGGGAGTTCTGAATCAGTGGTGAGATTTCGTATTCCCAGGACTGGGGCCAGTGTCTCCATAGGACAACCATAAAGTGGCACTAATTTCACCAACTGTACAGAGATGAGGATACTTTTGCAACAGTGCCGAGGAAACACAGGAAGATAGCGTGAGCTGAGGCGTGGAAGAAGCAGCACTTACGTGTGGGCCCTGAAGGTGTAGATCGGCTCCACGTCCAGCGACGCTGTCCTGCGACAACACGTGCGCATCGTCAACGGTAGCCTCGACAACACAGATAGTTTCAGCACACCAACAAGTACAATCATACCAACTGAACAAGTCTGATATTCATATTCTTTGGGTCTTTCGGTAAAGTCCCGTATATAGGTTCAACCATCACCTTGCCATACATAGCAGGGGTCACCAAAAAGATTTCCAAAATCATGAGCAAACACAAGATCCAGGTTTGATTTAACACAGTATATAAAATTTGTGATCTGATCCCATCTTTGAAGGATGTGATCCCTGACATGCAATACCCCAGCGTCTACAAACTAAGCTGTGTCTGTGGCAGTAGTTACATTGGGGAAACGAAGCGACATGTCTCGGACCGTGTTCGTGAACATAAGGCAGATCTGAAACACGGTAGGACCAATACCTCGGCCGTGGCTGATCATTGTTTTAATGCAGTGGGCTCACACGAAATTGATTTCTCTAAAACAAAGGTACTTTGCAAACCTACTGGCTATCAACAAAGATTCGTTCATGAAGCCATCCATATTTATAGACAGACACAATTTCAATCGAGAAGATGGGTATAAACTGAGCAATAATTCGAAGAACGTTATCAACCAGTTTAAGTCATAACTGGCTGTGATGTTCCCATCCTACCACCTTCCGATGTTAGTTGTTATTTTCGGCTCTCTGATTTTACAGTCACAGGTTAAATTTCTCACCCTAACCTAGCCACCTTGCTCACCGAGCTCGAGGTTTTTGCTTTGCGATCTCCCATTAACATGCTAATCTCTCACATGAACATAGCTACCTCAGGGCGCCTGCCGTGTTGGCCTCTCAACGATCTTACATTATCATGCTAATTTTTACTGGGCAGCCCTTTTATTGGTGGGAAAACCCACCACCGTCGCGGCCCACACATTTTACCTTTAGAAGCTAACCCCCCCTCTTCCTGATGACGAACGCTTGTGTTGCGATCGAAACTTCGTAGTTTTTTGTTATTTTCTTTGAACCTATCTACGTGACTTTACCGAAAGACCCAAAGAATATGAATTCCTGCAGTCACGAAAGCTTTAAGTCAAGATTTAAGTCTGATATTTCCATCTTTTCATACAGAAGAATACAGAGCAGACCGCTGCTCAATTTCAAATCTGGAAGCAAATGCCAATGGTGAATAAGCCAGTCCATAACTTGTACAGGACTCAGGTTAAGTGCTGCCAGCAAGTTCATGCCAAATCCACAGAGATAGATGGATACAGACCCATGCACACAAAGAAAATCTAATATGTTAATAATTCGGGTAAAAATGCTAACTACACCCCATGTGCGAGCTCTCGGAGTCTGGCCACTTATTGAAGTGGTTACACGGATACGATTTTGGTTTCCGGCTTGCAGTGCGCATGCACGTGCAAGCGTTACAGTAAACAGGCATTTATTCTCATTACGAAAGCAGCTGTCTCTGTGGCAGCAATGTCCCTTTCTGTAATTCCAAAGAGTGTAAAAGTGTATCTGTATACACAAGCTTTGGGTGGTGCTCACCTCTTGGAAATCTTGAGTCAGTAGTGGAAATTTCTAAGCCTCTCCACAGGTTAGCTACTATTGACTTCCTACTAAGTAGTAAACATTGTATCATCCCAGAAAAATCATGGGCTGAGTTAACCATTGCCGAGGATTTGAACTCACAACCTTCCGATTTTGAGTAGGGTGCTTGGCCCCCACCCTGCGAGATGTGATGGCAGTCAATATTCGTTAATCAAATATTTAGAAGAGAATAGCGCCATGCGGAGGAGACTAAATCCCATGAAAGAATCCATCTGTCACTGCATCCCTAAAGGGATTTCATGGTAATGCTAATGACAGACACTGTACGACAATGCAAGACTGGCTGTTGTTCATCATCACATGCAAACACATGCCAAACTGCCTGGGGTATTTGCAGGGCAATTATCAAATCATTAGCATGTTGGGCTGCTGGTGATTCTGATGCGAATTAAAATCATGCACACACACACACAACACACCCTACTGGACAACTTCTCCACGCAACAAATTAAATTTCACACCACTGGAAAATTATATTTGACGTCCCTCAAATGAATATAGAGGGAATGCTTGTATGAATATAGAGGGAATGATGACAGTGATTTGAAAACTGCTACAAACCCAGTAACCTGGGTTCAATTCCTGGCTAAGGATAACATAAGCACAAATTAGAATCTGAAGCTCTTCTGGGTCTCTCCTAGATTGACTCAACCATAAACGAGTACTTAGGGAGGGGCTCACCACTCTACAGGAATTTCAACGTGCATTTAAGCCCGTCCAAAATGCTGGAGTGACATTACCATCACTTGTTGAAGGACAGCTGTGTGAGTCTCTTTGCCAATCAGAAAGCTGTTCATGTCGTGTTTTGGGTGGTTGGTGGCAGTTAGAGACAGAGCAGCAACTACTCATATTCCAGTATTTGTGGGCGCCAGTGGTCTACAACAGGCTTGCATGCATATAGCAATGCCATGAGCCTGTATAGTGCTTGTATGGGCAACTACCATGAATAAGCGGTGTTATTGTCTGTGGAGATAAAACAGGACCCTGCGGGGTGGGCTGGTAGGAATAATACTTAGTACCGGTACAGGGATATCGACCGGGTATAGAGGAGTTAAAGAAAAAAATCACTGTATTCTAGTGTAACGTTAATTAAAAGTGTTTGTTTTGACAAGAAACGCTGTGAGATTTAAAGACTCCCCAACACCACCCTCAACACCACCCCTCCCACCAGCCCTCACCACCCCCCACCACCACCCCCCACCACCACCCCACCACCCCCCCACCATCACCTTCTGCACTAGGGCCTCGCGAAGCCTGCCGCACTAGGCCTCGCGAAGCCTGCCGCACTAGGCCTCGCGCCGTGCTTTTCGTGCACAAATAAGGCGATTAAATGTATCTAGTCTCTGTGTTAATAAATGTTTCTTGTCTCTGTGTTAAAAAAACGTGCTGCGTTTCAGTAAAGTAAATTTTTTTTTAAAATAAACGTGCTTCGTTTCATCTCTGTGTTAATAAGCCTGCCACACTAGGCCTCGCGAAGCCTGCCGCACTAGGCCTCGCGCCGTGCTTTTCGTGCACAAATAAGGCGATTAAATGTATCTCGTCTCTGTGTTAATAAATGTTTCTTGTCTCTGTTAAAAAAACGTGCTGCGTTACAGTAAAGTAAATTTTTTTTTAAATAAACGTGCTGCGTTTCATCTCTGTGTTAAAAAGCCTGCCGCACTAGGCCTCGCGAAGCCTGCCGCACTAGGCCTCGCGCCGTGCTTTTCGTGCACAAATAAGGCGATTAAATGTATCTCGTCTCTGTGTTAATAAATGTTTCTTGTCTCTGTGTTAAAAAAACGTGCTGCGTTTCAGTAAAGTATTTTTTTTTAAAAACGTGCTGCGTTTCAGTGAAGTAATTTTGAAGCGAAGTTTAAAGTTTTGCCGTGATGCGCCGGAAGCGACGGCCATCTTGTTTAATTCACAGATCGCAGGGGGAGCGGGCGGCCATCTTGTCGGACAGGGTCATGCCAAGTGTTTACAGTAGGGGGCGATGTTGATACACGGACGGACGGACGGACAGATGGACGGACACATTAATCTATTGGTGGTCTGGTCCACTTCGTTCCTACCAGTATAATCGGCAAATTAGGGCAATGCACACATTATCTATGCTCCCAACCATCACCAAGCCACAGTGATCAGGGTGAAGTATGGTCATATAACCCCCACAAATTGCACGGGGTAGAGAGGCCTTCAGTCAGGAGTGGCTTAATAAAGGTCTGTACATTTACTTGCACCATCCTTTGATTACCCAATGTTCACTACCCTGCTAGTGTGCTATTGTCACGAATGGAGGCTCATCCTTTGGTATTTTTTCTATATTAGGGACCCCATAACCTTCGACCAGGGCTGCTTTAAACACCACTTTCAGACGACTCATAACTACGATGCTGCCCCATCTACTGCAGCGAGGACAGGGAGCAGTGACTGTTCACAATGTAAAGTCGTCTCTGCAGCACGAGTCAATCCTCTGTCGTTTTACGCACGCATTACCAAGCTGCCCGCACGCGTCAGATGGTCCTCCACGCAGGATAAAATCCGAGTGCACAAGAATTAAAAAACAAGCGCTGCCCTTGGAGCTCCCTGGTCAGACATAACCGTAAATCGTTACCAACTGCTCTCTGCCATATTTCACAAAACGTCAAACGTGCTAAATCAGCAACTGTGAGTTTTGGTAAAAAAAAAATGTAGTTGAAATGATGCTGTAGTCCAAACAACATTGCTGCATGCAGTAGTAAGCAAACACTCATAAGGATTACTTTTGAAAAGTAATTAGTCTGGTGGCAATATAAGTGGGAGTATGCTCCTCAAGAGAGCACAGGGCATGCTGCATTTCTTGCTTATAACCCTGATCCCCAGTGGTGATAATTCCACATTTTGTATACAGTGTGCAATTGGATCCCCAAGGGCAAGGACTACTGACCTCACGTAAAATGTTCCTAAATTTATCTTATCCGGCGAGATGAGAAAAGTTGATCTCTCCAGCCCTGAGCTACCATTGGCTCAGGGCCATCAAAGGAGATGTGCAATGCCTAAAACGGTTTATTGTACACATCTTGGCTCTACAGCTTGAGGCCAGTCTCTTCATCTCTATTTATTCCTCATCTCCTTAGAAAATAGGATTGGTTGTCTCAATTCACTCTCACTTCCTTTCATAAAATATTAGTAACGACAGCCGTTAATTAAATAACGCAGAGTGGCACTATGTAGAATACATGTCGAGACAAATTCTGCTCAGGTGTTGGCTCCGATAATAATCATAAAACGAGCACGGCTACGCGAGAAGTCAAAAGTAACTGTCCTATGGAATCACACCCACCATAGCAATATGGAATTGCCACCACTAGCTTAGGACCATCAAAGCAGCAGTCCTCCGCACTACAACTCACTGAATCAGTGAGACAACTGCTTTAATCATAATTCTCAAGACATTTTTGGTAAGGCCCTGCAATGGGAAGTCTGGCCAATTCTTTGAATGAATGTATATGCCGAGTGTAATGTACCACAAAATGCCAGGAGAAAGCTTTGCATACAAATGTTTAAGTTCAGAGACACCAGACAAAGTACCGCACATCACGAGTGTGCATGTATCAGTGGGCAGACATTCACGGGTGAAACGAAGAGAAGGCACTGGAATTTGACGACGCACGTTGAGCGCATGACAACGGGCTCGAGGACGCACACAGCAAAGAGCATGCGTGAATGTGAAAGTGATGATTGCATTGGGACCAGTGGTGCAGTGGGGGGGTAGTGGTGCAGTGATTAGCGCACTGCACTACAAACCCAGCGACCCAAGTACAATTCCCACTTACGACCAACATTGATGACAATTATCTGAACCGGTCCTGGGCCTCCCCTAGGTCGACTCTGCCTGAAATTAGTACCTGGTACGATGTGTAAATAGCAGCACTAGGGAGACGAAGGCGGCCAGGCGTGGGGCTGGCCATCAACCCCCTCGTGTGCCATACCGTCCTTCATAGGCGCGCGTGCTAACACAACTTGCCCCAAAAAGTCTGTTAAGGTTATACGGGGGATCTTTGTCTTGCAATGGGACCCACTTTTTTCCAGAGATGGTCTTCTGTAGGTTCCAAAGCTTGAGAGTGTGGTCCTCGGAGGCGGTGACGAGAACATGCTCACTCGGGTGGAAGGCCAGCGCCCGCACACCATCAAAGTGGCTGCGAAGTGTGAACTTGGGGTTCCACGTCTTGCGGAATGCGTCTTTGTTGGCGCCAATCTACGGCCATAAATGAGGGGGGGAGGGGGGCAATACATCACAGCAATCGTTTAGTTTGAAGTATATTTTGTTTAACCAAGTGAGAGCTCGAGAGGCCAGGATGGTAACATTTGTAAGAGTGGCTCTGGGGCAATGATTGCTGAGCAAAATCGCAACGCAGTATTTTTTTCCATGAATTTAACAAATGTCCTAATTTGTTATGGGATTTGGGTGGCAGAATGCAAAGGGATCGTTATCCTTTCCACATGTACCTATGTCTTATCTTAACATAATTAATATAGTGCCTTAACCAAGGCGCTTACAAAAAATTAACAACTGTACACCATGTGAACGGAATGGTGGAGATTAGGTGTGTGGTGCATTTTTATGTTCACAGATCTTTGGATGTATGTACATATGTGTATATAACCTTTTGTGTACTCCTGCACGCTTGTGTGTACAACGTGTTTAAGGTGGCCGGACAACAGCTCTAGAAACGACCATTTCCTCTCGTGTGCCGTGCTGGCCTTAATAGATCCTTGCCAAAAGCAATTCCCCCCCCAACGTCAATTTGGTCTCCACGGGGATCCTTCGTCTTTGTACGTGGACGCACAGGGAGCACAGGACCGGGGTTGCGTACGTCGTAGCTGGGCGAGTCGGCGTCGTTGGTGACGGTGAGGTCCGCAAGTTCCCCGAGGCCCGTTGTGTCCATGGCCTCTTCGGGGCCGCTGATGAACATCTTCCCTGTGCCACGGGGAAACGGGCTCTCGACTGCCGCCCGGGGGGCAGGGGATGGGGGGGACAGCAGAGGGCGACATGGGAAGGGAAGGAAAGTGTTCAAGGGCAGGCCACTAGCAAGTGGGTGAACAGAGATCAGTATGTGCATGTTCTATGTAGGGGCTGCTTTGGGCCAGTATGTTTGCAGGACGGGTGCGGTGCTTGAGGGGACACTTGGGTTGGGCTACAAGGAGCTTTCCCGGCCAGAGGTCTAACAGAAAAGTGATTAATTATCGAGTTCTGCCATCACCCATTGAGTTCTGGCCACCTGTCAAGATCCGCATAATGCTTTGCAATATCCAGGCATTGCGTGTTGGAATCTGGCTACTGCATGTTTAGAAGCGCTTAAGGAAATAGTTACATTTAGGTTCCAGTGCTCGAGAAGTCAGCATGTGATGGGTAAATGCAACATTTATCATCTACTGTATATCTTAAAACAATGTTATTTATTTACTAAGGAAAACGTCACTTGAGTTTTTAATACGTTTTGCGGAAGGTTCGACATTTCGATTTTTGACCAGTTCCTTTGTAAGGAGGGAAAAGGAGTACCCTGAAAAACCTATTCACAAAAGGAAAACAAAACATCTGCATAGACAGCTCGACAAACCCACTTGTTTGTCATCTCCTGGCCACCCAACAGCGGTTTTGGAGTTCTTTACAGCTATGCGATCAATTAAAACGCTCGAGCTTTTGGTTACTGGTATGCATCACCGTGTCTGTCATCTTGACAGATTGTGGATAGACCTGGACAGGGATTGGATGGAACTGCAGGGCACAACTCATACCTCATGTTTGGCCAGAAAAGTTTCTCATAAGGATCGCCTAAATCACAACGTGCTCAAAGCAAACCCACTCCCAGTGGAAATTGCCACTGGGCAAAAAGTTGGTACACATTGATCAGGGCAGTGAGTACAAAGAGGGAAAGGTCATGAAAAAGCACACAGGTGGCTAGGCATTGCAGTGGTCACAAGTTGGGACTTAAAAAAATTATGGAAGGATTCACCACGAGTGGTGTGCAAATAGAGTGGGTCGTGCTGATGGGTGGATTCATTGAGACAGGTTACTTTCAAGGCATATGTGAAATGCTCTATTTACACTGACATTATTATTATTACTATGCTTGGTTACCCAGGAAAACTTCAGTCCCGAAAAGTCTTTTGCAGGCGGGACCTGGCAAGTTTTTGTAGTAGGGGCAATGATAGCTAAGTTTATTCTAATTGAGAAATGTTCAGCCAAGGTTTAAAATTTTGGTCATGACACTTTTACACTAGGGCCTATGCTCTTGTGTATGACATTACAGTATCCTTCAAATTTCCACCGTGAAACAGACTGCATAAATATTTCGTTCATACGCCCACAAAATAATCACCAGGGCGGCTGTTGGAATAAAACCATGAATCTTTGCAACAAGCGGAGAACCACATTGATACCTGTATCGCTCTGTGAAGCCTTAATCTCAGTTATTATTCAGCTGAAGAACACTGTGAATAATTCGTACTAATTTGCGTTCAGAATCATGTTCCATCAGTGCATATGAATATCTTATTGAAAACATCACTGTTAGGTGACCTACTACTTACAGACAGGTGAATTGAATATATTGCAATTCAATTGCATTCATTCTATGCCCCAAGTCTCAGACAAACAACAGATAGCTCTACAGTATTAGCCACTGGCGGGGAACGGCCTACAAGTTGGTAGAAAGAAAAATACAGACGCACAAATCAGAAGCCACATCCGAGGCAGGAGTAGAGTCAAGATACCCAATTAAAAGAGGACAGCACCCGCAACTCAAGGCTGGAGTAAAGAGTGCCGACATCAAGAAAAGCAAACATGGAGAAGGCACAGGTAGCAAACAAACCAAACTCTTAGGTTTTTTCGGTAAAGTCACGTAGGTAAAAAAATAACAAAAATAAAATAATAATAAATGAAAAGTTTGTTATTTTCATTTATTATTATTTTCTTTTATTATTATTTTTTACCTACGTGACTTTACCGAAAAAACCTAAGAGTATGAATCCTTGCAGTCACGAAAGCTTCAAATCTAGAAACAAACCAAAGCCAATGAAGGACACAAAGAAGTGCTGCGGAAAGCCGGCCAGCAGAATGGCAACAAAGCTCTGGTTGAAAATGGGGCAACGCCACCCGGACACCAGCAAAGCATCGGTGAAAGAGACAAATCGCTGGACTGCAGAAGAAAAGCAAGCAGGTCACGGAGAACAACAATACGCAACACAGTGGCACCACAACAACCACCATTCTCTGCATTCTGCAAAGATGACGGGTGAACAGCAGGGGGCACACAACAGCAGACTACTGGGGGGAGCAGACGGACGTGAGCTGTCCGTGCTGCTGCTGCAAGCAGGGACACCACGAGCGTCACGGCCACGAGGGGGAGGCAAAGGAGGAGAGTATTGCAAAGCAGCTTGGCGGCAGCAACAAACACGAAGCGGCCTCCCTTGGCAAAAGAAGAGAGTGCCATTAGTGAGGAGAGAGGTAAGGGAGAACATTCAGGAACTGGTGGGGGGGGGGGGGGGAGACTGGGGCGGTGGTTTGGATGTCTTCCCAGCACAAAGGTCGGTGAAGATGGATGTCCAGCAAGGAGTTGGGTAGGTTGCTCTGAGTACACACACTCTGATATTGAAGATGTAGCTGGGAGAGTAGAAAGCTAAGGCTACGAATCAAGTGGAGTACTGTGGGCCATTTGTGAAAGCATTTAGCTTAGCCAATGAGAGTGAAACAACTAAGTTGAATATGAGATGGTTTTCAATTTACAAAGTTGTCAACCTCTCCATGCAGAAGATTCCAATACGATCGTGTTCGGGTGGTGTGGGATGAGCGTGGTGACCGGGATGCGGGTGGATGAGATGTGCAGGCGCAGTGTGCAAACAGTGGACGTGGTCGTTAAGGTGAGGAAGAAGACGGGACGGGACACAGGGGCACAAGATGAGACGAGGGGGGCAGGGTTCGGGGACTCGGCGCCATCCTGTACCCTCATCTGAGCGGGCATTGTCGTGAGGCAGAGGGGCGGCCCGCTCCTCGGGCTGGCGGGGCGGGCTGGAGGCTGCCAACGGGGACAGCTCGTCCACCTCGCGCAGGTTGGCCAGCATGTCCTGCAAGGCGGAGCGGTTGGGGCCTGCCACAAGCACAACGCCGGCCGTCAGCTGCGCGAGCCCGTCCGTTAGTCCATCACGACACTCGCAGCACTGCACTGCAGCTGTGCCACCTCGATGGCGACCAACGCCGGTCAACCTGCAGGGGGTAAATGAGGGCTCCACGCGGTTTGTGTGCAATGCAGTGCGCCGTGATACTGGCACGCCCGAGGTTGATCAGCACGCACGGTCAGCTGAAACATCGGTGGAGGTATCTCCATATCCGTTTATCATTGGCAAGCTGGTTGGTCGCACAAGGGTGTGGTGCCATTTTCTCTGGTGATCTGATGGAGCCAGTTTTGACCAACAGGCGTGTGTCTAAAATTATTTTTTTAAAGAACCTTCAATTAATTTTGCCAAATTCTTTTGGGTCTAGAAGCATGTTTCCCTGCTGTAAGCTTCATTTCTCAACGTTTTGTGTCGTAAGATTTGCAGGGGCTGAAAATCCTGGAAATTAGTCTGGATTTATTTTAATGAGTTGCACTTGGTGAAAACAATAGCACAGCTTGTTCAAAAAAGAAACTCACCAGTGGAATATCAAACTTTCTCCATGAGCTCTGGGCCACCTATGGAGTGCAGACTCCATTGCTTATGTGAACAGGGAGTCATTCTGCCTGAACAGTTAATTATTTATCCAGGATGCTTCACGCAACCTTAAGACTATTCTTCGGCAGTTTCCTGAATTGGGACATTAGACCCTCTTACAAAGATGTGATTTTTGCGTGTTTTATCAAACTCACAATATAGTGAAAAACACTCAAATTTGTACAGATGGGTCAACATCTTATTTAATGTACAGACATCTATGTCACCCTGCAGGTTGAATTTTATGCAATTCTTCAATCCCACATCTAAGGCACTGTATTACAGACATACGCCATCATCAAGCCCAGTAAAATAAATCCAGACTGCCTATTCAGCTATTTGGACTTAGTTGCTACTGAGCTCATTATTGGGTTGGTTAGACATCTGGTTGAACCACGTAGTTGGTGGAATTTGAATACACTCTTCCCGAGTGTGCGATTGATCTGCCGCCATCAGCTGCGTGGCCATGCCGTTTATACCTTATCATTCACTTTGCTGATGTGCAGCAAGAGAACAAGCTTCCGAACGCAAACCTATCCTAGTGTGCCGAAAATTCAGACCACTCACCACTCCAGAGGCCACACGTCAAGTCACCTAACCCATCCATGCTCCAAAGCGTCCGCTCAGAGTACAACTGCACGCATGATGGTGGGGGGCTCTAGTCTCACGGCCACAAAACAATCACATCCGACCGTATGGCCACTGTGCGCACGCCCCGACTCTCAGCACCGACATTCACTCCCACTCATCCCCGGCACGGAGCATCCTTCGGCACCTAAACATATCAGCTGACAGCAGCTGTAGAAATGATGGCAATACATGTCATTGATGTGGGGTGGGGTGGGAGTGGTAAAAAATCAGTTGCTGACAGACACACGCACATTCAAGCACTGCATAAAAATGAGCCCATCTGCGCTAAAGCTATCCTTTACTCTTGATGACAAACATTTTCTGCCTCTATATATTTATGTTCACTGGTAATGTTGCAATGCATTTTTCTCGCTGCTGTTTCACAGATGCATTTATTTGCAGGCTGAAGATGCAATAATCAAGGTTGAGTCAAAAATGGTCTGAGCTGATCACCTGCCCATAACAGGTGATGGCTCTCAAAGAATAATGAAGATACACAGATTACAATGGGTTTACAAACAAATGTAACGAGTCGGTGATATGGCATTAGTGTGAGCGGGTAGTTCACGCCTTTGTAGGGTATTTTATTTCCCATTAACGCTCAGCGTGCGGATTACCGCCGAATACTCAGCACGGCCGTTTCCATTCAGCCAAGTTACTATTACGGACAATTGAAGGGCCCGATGCACGTATTGTGATTGTGCAAAAGAACCAGTCATTTTTATTTCAATTGAACGCACAGTAGTAATAAGAATTGGTTGGCTCAAAGCTTAAACATGCCACCCTTTAGTGCAGACCAAAACAAACATACGCACGGTTTCAATGCAGTGCATCCACATCTCCAAGTGTAGCATCTGTCAATTAGTCACAGACCAATTTATGCAGCCCCATGCTCAGCATGTCATGCATTGCGGTGGAGAAAACAACACCCACAATACCAGTCTAGGAGATCGAACTCAAATGAGTGCGACACAAGTAATCACGAGCATCGTGGGGTGGTGCTCATCTCCTCAGTCCCATACCAATCCCTCGAGAGGACGACCAGCATATATTTACCTTCCACAAGGTGGTACTTGTTTTGTTCACACAGGAGAGATTATGGGCTGCGTCAACCACTAACTGGGATTTTAACTTACAACTTTCCAAGTGCCCCAACCACAGCACACAACAATTGGGCTGGAGTCTCATAAGACCACAATTTAATATGAAGACTTTGAAATGCCTGTAAAAGCAATAGAGGCAGAAGACGTGGGAATGGATAATGTAATCCATAATACCGACACCACAAATTTTCACATTGAAAACACGTGTCCTATCAGGACAATGATGAATGCGATGTTGTTCAGAAGCCAAGCAAGTCAGAGCATAGCCAGCTGAAACCCAAGGTCACTAGATAAACCAGGTTGTCAATTGCATCGAGTTTGTAGTCTTCAGCTCTGAACACACACGTGAAATGCTGTAACCTCAAATCCCAGCTGAGGGATGACTAGGATGGATCATCATCTCTCTGCGGCTAATAAAATATGTACCACTTTGTAGACATTCCTCTGGTCATTGTATTGAACTACTGGTAACAGGTACACAATTGGAATTATCTGAACCTAGCACAGTAATCCACTAAGTTGACTGTCTAAAGGGAGTACCTCGCATGATGAGGGTTGAGTCAGCTGAGCATGTGTGGTGCTGGCCAGCGCATTTTATAGTGCTGGCTTTGATTAGTGCTCGCAGCATTTGCATGCCTGAACAGGTGCCGTGTACACATTGACACATGAGCCTTACACTAATGGCAATAAACAAGGAGTAAAATATATAGAAACCATGTGAATTGCAGTAATTCAGCCATTTAGCGGTGACATACCTGTCTGCACTAACAGTATATTGTACAAACAAAAACCTAAATATGTCCTCATTATATAAGCACTCCACGAACCATTATTATAATAGAGTTTTCCCCCTTTTTTCTGGCAACAAAACTGAAACCTTTTACAAGGAATCATGTGTGCATTAACCACAATACTTGTGGTCAAAATGCAAAAAAAACACTGATAATATATGCATTATCCACACCAGAGACGGCTTTCTTTTGAGCCTTGTCTCGAAAAAGGGAAAACCCCTATTATATTTTGGTACTGGCAAAGGTCTAATGATGTAGAACCATTATTAATTCATATAAATACAATTAACACAGGCCAACGACGCCTGCTTTAAGAGCAGTCCAATGAGCCCCCTGTGGACAAGCACGGTTGGTGAATTTGGGCCAACAGCTCTGGAGCAATTGGTTCATGCACTGCATACAATGGGTCAGAACCAAAATACTGTGACTAATGCCTTTGTTGAAGGTTTGTGCGATTAAAATATGCAGAACGCAAGATAATCATTCTCATGGCAAGTTAAAGATCAATAGGTTAGTGCGGCAAATGTAGTTGATGTTAACCACACTTTGCCATTGTTTATTTTTTTCTGCACGATTCTGTACCTGTGGCATAGTAGACACCTGGCCTCCAAGATCTGCCCTCATCAATATCCAGCTTTAGATCTTTCGCAAAGATGCTGACATGTGGGTGTCACTCCCAATGCCTGACTCGGTAACCTGCCATACCCCATCACCCACACATGCCCCATCCATTGTAAAAATCTTTATCTGACTTGGTCTGCAATACTTTGCCACACTGTATTGCAAATTAGCAACTTGCTAGTTTGCAGTAGCATATTCTAAATGGACATACACTAAGAGATCACGGGCTACTTTTTATTAGCTTTGTTACAGCTTAGCTAATCAAACATGCACCTCCTTCATATACACAAAACACAGCCACCCTAACCGAGCAGCCTGCTGCGGGATGGGGAAAGTTTCTCCATATATATAAACAGTAAAGATGTGAATGTGTGTCTGTTCAAAATGTTTAGCGTACTTCCCGACATGCAACAAACTGGAAATTTGCCATGTGGGTACTTTCCAGACTGTACACCATGCAAAAATTATAAAAAAGACACTTTTTTTTTTGGGGGGGGGGGGGGGGAGCTCAATAATGCATATATTTTTTTGCACGGCAAGTGAGCTGACATCAAATCTGTCACGTGACCCGCGCATGTGGAAGCGTAACGCATTGTAGTGTAGTGGTTAGCGCGCTGCGCTCCGAACCCGGCGACCAGAGTTCGATTCCCGCTCACGGCCACCACTGGTAAAGATTATTTCAACCGCTCCTGGGCCTCCCCTAGGTCGACTCAGCCTCAAACGAGTAACTGCTGTGGTGTGTGAACATCGCCACTGGGGAGACAAAGGTGACCGGGCGTGGTGGATCCAAGTCCAAGGCAAAGCTGGGTAGTACAGCTAGTCTATAATATAAATCAAATGGTTTTAGGAAATGTTATATCAATTGACTTAAAATAACACCAAGTTCTTTAGTGTCATCAATGGTATTGGTTAACTCCAGACATTCCGAGATGAACATTCTTCAAAGGTCAAACAACCACTTCCCTTGTTTTAAAACCTATCATCCTGGTAGTAATGAGGCCACATTTGTCAATATTTGCTCATTTCTGCAGGGAGTAGAAACTTATTCAGTCACATAAAACCTTCTTATTTCTGTATGAATAAACCCACAGTATTAGAAATATGTCCCATGTCACCAAGTAGAGTAAACCCTCTCAATCAGCGAGTTCTGGATTTATGAGTTTCGCGAGTTACTAAATGTATGGTAATTCCCTATTTGCCAGACTCCCATACTTAGTCGACTCGTCTATACATTTTGGTATAAACGAGACAACT